AGTCAAACCTCAGCCCTCACTACACACATCAGAACCCACACTGGAGAGAAACCATATGAATGTAAGGACTGTGGGAAAGCCTTCCGCTGCTCCTCATTCCTCACGAACCACGTGAGAATCCACAGTGGAGAGATGCCATTTGAATGTAAGGAGTGTGGGAAAGTCTTTAGGCAAGCCTCAGACCTCACTACACACAGAAGAATCCACAGTGGAGAGAAACCATACGAATGTAAGGAGTGTGGGAAATCTTTCAGGTGTTCGTCACATCTCACCACACATATGCGAATCCACAGTGGAGAGAGGCCTTACGAGTGCCAAGAATGTGGGAAAGCTTTTACTGATTACTCAGCCCTCACAAAGCATGTAAGAACTCACAGTGGCGAGATGCCTTATGAGTGTGTGGAATGCGGCAAAGTCTTCAGGCATGCCTCAAACCTCAGCACGCACAGAAGAATCCACAGTGGAGAGAGACCTTACGAATGTAAGGTATGTGAGAAAACTTTTGGCCGTTCCTCACACCTCACTACACACATGCGAACTCACAGTGGAGAGAGGCCTTATGAATGTAAGGAATGTGGAAAAACCTTTAGCCGTTCCTACTGCCTCTCTGAACACATACGAACTCACAGTGGAGAGAGGCCTTATGAATGTAAGGAGTGTGGGAAAGCTTTTAGATGTTCCTCAGATCTCACAAAACATGTAAGAATCCACAGCGGAGAGAGGCCCTATGAATGTAAGGAGTGTGGGAAAGTCTTCAGGCAGGCCTCAAGCCTCATTACACATAGAAGAATCCACAGTGGAGAAAGGCCCTATGAATGTAAGGAGTGTGGGAAAACCTTCAGGTGTTCCTCACACTTCACTTCGCATATGAAAACTCACAGCGGAGAGACTGCTCTATGTCAAAAGTAGGACTGTTGCTGTGAAGTGCCATCGAGTCAGTTCTCACCCATAGCGACCCTGCCTAGGGTTTCTAAGGAGCAGCTGGCGAGCTTGACTCACTGACCTTGCAGTCCAGCATGCTAGCCAAGAGCGCCATACCAGGACTCCCAGAAGTAGGAGGCTTCATTCATCCTTAATACTGTAAATTTGAACAGCAAATCTTTGAAACTCTACAAATAAAGAAAAAAGGCTTTTTAGTGAGTAAGAAAATAATATTATAAAGGAAGTATCACTGGAAATACTTT